CTGAACATGACAAGGGGCACTTTTGACGAATCCCTTCAACATGCAGCAAAAATCTCTCTCTCCAGGTAAGAGCGCCAAAACAAGCACAGCAAACCTTACACTGATTTCTAACTCGTTCTGGTCAGGTTCATCTCTCAAAATCTCTGAGGAAGAGTCATTTTCCCAGCCTCAGACACACTGCTCAAACTCACTTCAACAGAGTTGGCAACTGAAGGGTCAAAACTTTAAAAACACATGAAAACACGTGACTCTCTTAATGCTTGAGAGGCACAGAAAAATGTCTGCAAGACCACGAGGCTGCTACCTCATTGGAAGACTTCTCACAATGTGTCTCCCTTTTTTTTTACATGCAATGCAGCAGGGTGCTCACAAGAGGTTCCAGTGACATCCTGCCTCACACACCATGTGCAAAGGAAAAGAGAATTTTAAAAAAACCCACCCAATTTCATTCATTGCCTAGCTGGGAAAATAGGGGATTGCCAACTACGCAACATTTAGAAATTATTCACTGCACCTGCTGCTAAGAAAACTTCTCTCTGCAAAAGGACAAAACACTGACTAAAACAATTGGGAAGTAAGAGCCAGCCATAACAAACACATAATGGAATTTATCTTGATGTGAAGAATTAGAGGAATTTCAAGTAACTTTCTGTTTAACCACTATCATGTGGGTGGCTCAAGTCCATTCATACCTCAGCAAAAGCACAAAACAGTCTTGCCTTTTTTTGGTACTGCACACCAGCTGGATGACTCATGAGCTATCTCACCACCTTTTTATACTGGTATGTACTGGTGCTACCACAGAAAGAGATGTTTCTACCTTCTCCCTTCCCTCAGCCATTCATTCCTAGCCTTGCCCCCTTCTCTACCTATGCAAGCTTGTTGGCACACAGAGGAGGACTGAAGCAGATGAAGAACTGACCCACCATTGAACTGAGCTCACTAACAGTCTTTAGCCTGCACCAGTCCCCCTGTTCAGGTCAGAGAAGGGGTTTGTCCTGGCACGAAAGCTCAGCCAGGACAGGAAGAAGAAATGAGACCAGTAGCCAGTGAGACTACTGGGATCACCTTTTCCCATGGGGAGCAGTGACTATGCTTACTCACTGCACTGTGAATCTACAACATTTTATGAGATATATCCCTCAGCCTGGGGAACTGCAGCAAAACAAGAGACAGAGGTTGGGTTTAAAAAAGAGGGGTACAGGAAAAGGAAAGAAAGAAAAAAGTTTGGGTTTGCTATTTTAAACCACTCATTTGAAAAATATTTTTTTAAAAAAATTGTGACCTCAAGTTTCAAGTCTGGCTTACGCAGCCAAAAATATTTGAAATAGCAGCAGTAATAAATCTGAAAAAGACACTTCTGTAAGAGTGTTAATACTATTTCAACTTCTGTAAATACATTTATAAACAGAAACGCATATTTCTCTTCCAATAGTAGTGCACACATGACCTACAAGCCTCAGCACAATAAAAGCACAATAAAAATGAGAATTCATTATTAGTATTTACAGATTTACTATATTAAATATGATAACATAGAAATAAACTTCACAACTGAAGAAACAACAAAGCAGACACAGCTAAACAAGCATGTCCTTTGATAAGAACAGTAAGAGTAATTTTTGAAATAATTTTAATGTCTCTAACAGATGTAAAGAGAAAAGTTTCAGACCACAGAAAGGTGTCTGAAACA